CCCATGAGAACAGCACATACAAAGGTGCATAAAGCCCAAGATGAGCTCTCCTCAACAGTCCTCCATCTACCGTGTCCACCTGCTCCATCCTACCACCACTCCAATGAATCAGAAATGGAGTAAGACAAAATGTGCTGTTCTTCCTCTGCCAAGCAGAGAAGATAGGTCTTAGGTTAGTGTCTTTTTCTCACTCCCCACATCCAATCCATCATCAAATCCTACTGCCATCCAAACACATTCAGAACCCTTCCACCCTCACCAACTCCACCACAATCACCTCCCCCACTTCCACCAGGGTGTCTCAGCTGAATTCTTGCAGCAGCTTTTTAACTGATCTCTCTCCTAACCTCATGTGCCCTTAGACTCTATTTCCATACTGCAATGAGAGCAATCCTACTAAATACATGTCACGTCATGTCACTCTGCTCAAAATCCTTCAATGGATTCCCATCTTTCCCAGTACAAAAAGCTAAGTCCTTACAAGAACCACAGGGTCCCGCATAATCTGGCCACCTGCTACTCTTTGACCTCCCCTCCTATGGTTCTTCCTCTACACTGTCTTCCTCAATGATCCTCGAACATGCCAAGCCTGCCCCCATCTCATGACGTGTTCCTCTGCCTAGAACACACTTCCTCCAAACAGATAACTGCATGGTTTGTTCCCTCATATTCTGCAGACCTCTGGTCAAAAGATCCTTTATCAGAGTCACCTCCCTTAACCACTCAAAAATGGTAACCCTCTCTTCTCTACACGTCCTCCTTATCCTGCTTTATTTTCCTAATACATGTTTATCTATATCTACCTAAGATAGAGATAATTGGTTTATTGATATATTGGCTTCATTTCTGGTTTATTGGTTCATTTCTGGTTCCTCCTACTAGATGGTAAGCCACTTGAGGTCAGGGACTTTGCCTGTTATGTTCACTACTATATCCCCAATGCCTAGAACAGTGCCTGGAACATAATACCCGCTGAACATATATTTGTTATTAAATAGGTGAAGATGAGTTCCATGTACTCTCTAGTGGATATCTTCATAAGAGTAACTGGAAGATCTGGACAGAGACTTCTGACATGGACTGAGTAAGATGAAATGTGCTGTGGTCAAAGAATAAAAATAACAATAAAAGAAGATAGGAATATAACCTATAGTTCTCAGGAGAGGGGTGGCAAAAGACAGAGAGTATGTTTTATTGATCTTTGAGTCATAATTGTTGCTTAATAGACATTTGTTGGATTAGCTTTGTTTTATAAATATCACACATTTTGTTTTTTTCATTATAGCAATAGTCAGGTCAAAGTGGCAATTTATATTTTCCCTTGCTATAGACTATAATATAACTTTTTTCTCCCTCAGAAAAGAACCAATGTTTCTAATAATTTACTCAGTTATAATCCCATCCAGTTAGTGTACAATATGGAAAAATTCACCTTCCATAAAAATTGATTCTATATGACAATGTCATAAAAATAATGTTAATATCTAAAATGAATGCAAATTCAGCAAGTAGCTCTCCTTCAAATTTGATATTTAACCAAACATAAAGTATATTGTATATTTTCCTGGTAATTATTTATTAAAATGGCTAATGTGTTAAGTAACGCTCACCAATAATATAATCCATTTTTTCTTAGAGTTAAATTTATCTTTCTTAACTCTCATGCTCTTTAATAACTACACATATAGTAAAACAAATGTTAATATTTTACATTTAATTTGCATTTTCATTAGTCTCATAAGGATGTATGATACCCCTCAAAAATAATTTTGAGGCATACAGGTAGGGTGTAGAATTTGCAATCATGTTCTTCAAATTAAGTTCTGAAAGTTTTTGAAAAGAGTAAAATTTTTTTTTTTGTTTATTGCAGTAA